ATTATTATTATTATTATTATTTTGGAGGGGGTGGGTTTTTCCCATGCACTGAAACCAGTTGTTGATCTATTGTGCATCCCCCTGTAATTCTACCAGTCGCCATGCCCTTCCAGTACTGGTGCTCTCTATCAGCCCCGTTCTCCCAGCGAGGGTGGTCACCTCTCTGGCAGTGGTCCCCAATACTTCACCATCTACCAGAGGAATTGGAAACTACTTGGGCGGGAAACTTTTTGCCTAATTTTGCTCAGAGGTCTCCTAGAGACGTGAGGATCTTTTACGTGCCGTAATAGTCCAATATAGTAAATAAACAAGCCTCATGTAGACAGCTCAAGTTTCAAGACATCCCACATAGGCTGTGGAAACACCACAGTGACATTCTTTGCAGCCATAACTATATGCGGCGCAATTGCTGCAGTCCCTACCATTGTACATACATGAGCCAGCCATATTATCAATACACTTTCATTGTAACATATTACAAAATACATAACAACCACAGTCATCATACATACTGCCACACAACATGCGAGTCTCAACAACATATAATACAAGAACACAGACCAGTTAATCACTCGTAACATTTGAGCCCCTTGCATGCTCGACAAATTCGTCAGTAGAGTAAAATGAGTTTCTTTCCAAATAATTTTGTAAAACAAACCTAAATAGTTTTTATCATTTTTTAAAACATATTTGGCGGCAGAATATTAAATAGCTTGACGCCTGAATGATACACCTCTCTCTGATAGGATGATAAATATGTTGTACTAATCATATATACTGAGCTATTGGTCTGAAACTTATCCAAGTTATTTACAACAAATATCATCAATGAGAGCAAATATACACATGGGATTGGCAGTATGCCAAGCTTTTTAAATAGGCCTCTACATGTATGAGTTGGGCCTACTCCCATAGTTATGCCCATTTCATGCATTTCCAGAATTGACTATTCTGTTTCTGATATCCGTGTGTGGCCACATGCAATGTCTGCACTCTAGTGAGTGATTGAAAAGTCCTCCAAAATGTCTCAAGAGGATTGCAGTTTGATCGCTTGTGGAGTACTGCTTACATTATGTCTTACACATATTTTGGCTGTGCCATAGCTCAAGCGGTTAGTTGCTGGCTTCTCACTGCAGTGGCCCGGGTTCAATCCCTGGTCTGGTCAAGTGGGATTTGTGGTGGACAAAGTGGTGCTGGGGTGGGTTTTCTCTGGGTACTTTGGTTTCCCCTGCCAATCTTCATTCCACCAAATTCTCCATCATAATCACCTGGGGCAGGTACAACAGGCCAATCGGTGGCCTCCGTGCCAAGTGGACTCAGTTGGACTCCACCCCCAATTAAGCGAATACACATATTTTAATGGTAGCAAAATTAAATACAGAGTAAATTATCACATGTTATTCTGCAAGAATATGCCATGTTGCATGTTATTCCCATTAGGCCATAACGGGTAGCCAAGAAGCCATCACATGCTGTCATCACAGAAAGAAAGTCTTCTTGACACTGACCATGGGTCAGAGTCCACTGAAAATTTTGGTATTCATTGCAGATATCACATACAAGTTCATCTTGGCTGGACATCCTGCATGCATACAATACATCTATGAACCTAGGGTGCCAAATGCTGCATTCTAGAGAGGAAGAGGTTTCACTATGGAGCCCCGGGGCAGGGCCCCAACCATCCATTGTGATAGTGGTCAAAGATCAGGTTATACCTGCACAGTGTAAGGGAGTTGTGATGGGTGGTTTGGAGAGCACCCTTGGAGTGGAAAATGGCCTGGTAGAACTGAGTCCGGAGGCTCACATGCCCCAAGGACACTACATAGCCAGGATCCTGGTCTGAGACTGCCAGAAGGTACCCATGAGGGTCCTGAATGCTACCCATAGAGACCGGAAGTTCATGAAAGGGTCTCTCCTGGCACACTGTGAGCCAGTCACTCTGGTGACCCCACCCAGTGTTGAACAAAAATGGGTTCAAGACATTACCCTGAAGTTGCAGGGCTTGATGGCAGCAACCAGGTGAAACCTGAGTAATGCAGAATCCAAAGAGGTGGAAGAGCTCCTTACCAAGTACAGAGATATCGTTGCCACTAAGGGCAATGACCACAGGCAGACCAACAGAATGTACCACCATATGGATACTGGAGAGGCCCGACTGATCCGCCACTTACTGAGGAGGCTCCTCCTGGCAAAACAGGTGGAAGTAGGCGAGATGCTTAACGATATGCAACAATGTGATGTTATTGAAGAGTGTGACAGGCCTTGGTCACCATTGTCATTTTTGTCCAGAAGAACAGGGATCTGTGCTTCTGCATGGACTAATGGAAATTGAATGACATCACAAAGATGTGATGCCCTGGATTGAGGACACTCTGGACTTGCTGGCAGGAGCCAAATTTTTCTCCACTCTGGACCTGAAGAGCGGTTACTGGCAGGTGGATCTGCATCCAGACAAGAAGAGTTTGTCAATGGGTCAAGGGCTATGGCAGTTCACAGTAATGCCCTTTGGCCCTTGCAGTGCTCCAGCGACGTTTGGACAGTTAATGGAGACTGTCTTAAGAGACACGACTTACACGAGTCATGTTTCATGTACCTGAACAATGGGATCATGATTGGCCACACATTCCAAGAGCTCCTGCTCAACCTATGGAAAATGTTCAATGGTTCTGAGAAGCCTGCCTTAAACTCAATCCGGAGAAGTGCCAACTTTTTCAGAAGGAAATACGGTACCTTGGCCATATGTTATCACCTGAGGAGATAACCATCGACCTCAAGAATCTGAGAGCTGTACAAGAATGTCTGACCCTGAAGAAGAAACACAAAATTAGAAGCTTGCATATCTCTACAGAGATACAGTGCCTGTGCACTGACCACTCTGCGTCAGTGTGGCTCATGAGTTTTGAGAATCTCGAAGGGCACACTGCCCACAGGATTCAGCACCTACAAGAGTACAACTACATTTTCAAGCATCATCTAGACCAAAAACATAACAGTGTCAAAGCCCTTTCACGATGACCATTCTGAGAAGGGTGCCACAAAGTCGAAGTATAAGCAGGTGTCAAACAGGTACAAGCTATTGCAGCTGTAGCCACAGCCACCTGGGAGCCAGCCTCTCCGAGAATAAAACAACTGAACGACCAGTATGTAGGGCCAATTCTGGAGAAAATAGAGACCGGACAGTGCCCAGAATAGGAAGACATTACCAACTGCAGCCCAACACACAAGAGCTACTGGGACCAGTGGAAATCTCTTCTGAGGAACGGCATACTAGAGTGCCACTGGGATTCCAGCCCAAATTATTCTCCATTGGAACAGAGTGAATGGTGAGTTGACCAAACTGCATGGTGGACTGTCAGGAGGTTATATGGGTGTCAAGAAGACCCTGGATAAAGTCAGACAAAGGTGCTACTGGCTTCAAGCAATAAATGATGTTGAGAAGTAATGCTGGCAGTATGACACCTGTGCGGAGTCACAGCCCCTGGAACAGGAATCAGGGCCAAATGCAACACTACAGAGTAGGCACCATTCGAAAGGCTAACCATTGATGTGGCAGGGCTCTCCCACAGAGCGATCAAGGAAACCAGTATCTCCTGATTGCAATGGTCTGTTTTACCAAGTGGCCAGAAGTCTACACCGTTTCTAATCAAGAGTCTTTGACAGTGTGGAAGTGCTAGTTACCAACTTGTTCTACTGCTTCAAAGTACCACCTTGACTGCACAGTGACTGGGGTTGTAACTTCCAAGTCACTTCTGATACAGGATATTTTGCAACATGTGGGAGCGAGAATGACGTTCACACGTATGTGCGAGAGAGAGATATGGCGAATTTTAAAGTGTAGTCACACCGTATAAAAGAGTGCAATCAATCCAAACCCTGTCTGTAATCACTCAGTCATGTGACACCTCTTTGGATCTGTAAATGTTTGATGATTATCATTTATGTTTTAGCTGTTACCATTCTGATGCAATGCAGAAGGTTATAAGGAAAGCACATACTGTTTCATGTAATGAGAGCACATGTAAGATTGGTTATGGTATTATGGTGTTACAGAACTGTATGGATTTACTGAAAGTTGAACCTGGTTCATATAATGAGACATGCCTAACATCTTCTCATGATGGAAGTGAGGTCCTCAGTGTGAATGTTGAGGAGGCCACAAATGTACAAGAGGAAGATGATCCTCTACAAATATCACTTCCAGTAATAAAGGCTGAATATGAGGTGAGCTGTTTATGCATATCATAGTGTCTTATGGGACTGTCTACACAACAGTTCTATCACCAAACACATTGCTACTAACATACCAGCATTTGTTTATTTGGCAAACGCGTTGCTATATGTTTTGACACTTACAGGGTCATCATCAGGCAAATTATAGAAATGTGATCCTTTTTTTTTATATATTGCTAGTGCAGTGGGACTAGGTCTCTTGTGCTGCGGCCACTTCCGGCCTGTTGTACCAGCCCCAGATGATAGGTGANGATGTACAAGAGGAAGATGATCCTCTGCAAATATCACTTTCAGTAATAAAGGCTGAACATGAGGTGAGCTGTTTATGCATATCATAGTGTCTTATGGGACTGTCTATGTAACAGTTCTATCACCAAACACATTGCTACTAACATACCAGCATTTGTTTATTTGGCAAACGCGTTGCTATATGTTTTGACACTTACAGGGTCATCATCAGGCAAATTATAGAAATGTGATCCTTTTTTTTTATATATTGCTAGTGCAGTGGGACTAGGTCTCTTGTGCTGCGGCCACTTCCGGCCTGTTGTACCAGCCCCAGATGATAGGTGAGGGTGATTGTGGAGCAATTGGTGGAATGAAGATTGGCAAGGGAAACCGAAGTACTCTGAGAAAACCTGCCACAGCGCCACTTTGTCCACCACAAATCCCACTTGACCAGACCCGGGATCGAACCCAGGCTGCTGCGGTGGGAAGCCAGCAACTAACCGCTTGAGCTATTGTGCGGCCAAAATGTGATCATAGTCATTGAATTGTTTTCTTAATATTGATCAATATTCTTACAATATTTTACCACTTGTTTTGTGAATACACCATTTTGTTGAAACTTGATCTCTAAAATGCACAGTTTCTTTAAATTGAGCTTAAAAATTAAAATAAAATATATCATTACAATTAATATAATTTTAATCTTAAGTACCTGAATTATGCTTTAAGTTTGAATTTAAATTATGCGTCTGTTCTGTCTAGGCAGTCTCATGAAATTATATTTAATGAGATGCAAGAGGATGCATCTCATGAAGATGTTTGTGCATGTTGTGTTTTTGTTCGTCCATAGTTTTGCACCTTTCACAAGTACATAGGATTGTCTATTCTCATCTCAGTTTGGTCTCTCCATCCATATGGAGTACCACTATTTAGGAGAATGGATTTTGAAGAGTTCTTACCAGAATGTCTCAGGAGGATTTTATGATGTTCAGTACTGCTCATGGAGTATTGCTTCCATTGTGTTTTACATCAGTTTTAGAACTCATGAAATTAAATACTGAGTAAATTGAAAATGTATCAGGTGAGGGATACAGCTGCAGAAATTGTGCATAATTTCCTTGTCTGACCTTTCCAGTAAGCTTTGTTTTGATAATACATCCTACTGCAGAATTTCTCATACAACATTCGAAATCCTAAAATGTTTGAATGACCATTTATTTTATTTGCTACTTTCATATAGATTTGTCATCACTGTGGAGGTTGTGTAATAGAATAAATGATGATTCTGTAAGGATTTGTGCAGTGCTTAACTGATACGTGCATTTATTGTCCATTGTCTGAAGTGTATATCATACATCTTTTTTTGGAAGTTGACTCATCACAAATGTATTGGACATTGGCCATTTTCTGGAGTATGTTTTATGTGTTTGGCATTTTAGAAGTTGGTTCTGTTTGCGTTGTCAGGTGATTGGTTTTAATTATTTTTTTCCCCCCTTGGCACTACAGCCCCAGTGGGCCTAGGCCTACCTCCATGAACTTCTCCGTTCACTTCAGTTTTTCTAGATCTTACACATTCGGTAGGACTCCTTGGACAGGTGATCAGCTCATTGCAAGGCCTCTACCTGTACACAGAAAAACGCACACACACAAACTAAATATCCATGCCCTGAGTGGAATTCGAACCCAAGTTCCCGGTTTCCAAGCGAGCGAAGACAGTACATGCCTTAGACCGCTTGGCTACCGTGACCAGCGGTTTTAATTATACTGGCATATTTTATGTATTTCTTTATGATTATTCTTTTGACACTAGTGACATTGGTTGGGATTGAACCTGAGCTCTCCCAGTAAACTATACATTTGCTTTCATAATTGAAGGCTACATTCATCACTAGTAGAAGAAAGAGATTAGTTGAGCTGTCAGAGTAACAACTGGCTGAAAGTTTAGATATAAGTAATTCAGTATATATATATAT